TTATGGTTCTGGTAATATAGTACCTGCCTCACTGGCCTTACTGACAGCATCCACTAGCATCTGTGTTTGATATTTAAAAAGCTGCAAGCAACTGTGCTGGATATTGATTTGTTGCTAATGAAGGAAGAGATTGAAGACCTGAGTGACGTATACCTTATCCAGAAATGATTTTAATTTAGCAACATGTAGGCTGCTTTGAATTGGAAAAAAATGACTTTCTTTCTTATCCTATCCTGGAAGAAAAAATAAACGATGTGCCTGCTGTATCTTTCTTCAGGTCAGCAGGATCAGAAATTTAAGCTATTAATACCCTGGGCACTGTCCCATGTCAGAAACCAGTCATACTGACTGATTGTATTACCACATTTGCTTTATATTTCCTATCTTCTCCTGTTCAACCAGCTTCTTTTGAGGAATTTCTGTTTGGCTTTATGTGTAGTTATGCGCTCAAGATTGGCAGGAGCCCAAGGCTTTAATAAGACAAATATTCCATTTGGAAAACAGTTTTTCCCCAATTTTGTTCTTGTAACCCCCTACCCCATTATTCCTGCTCCTTGAGTTATTTTAAGTCATGTACTACAGGAGGCACTTCAGTAGTCATGGTGGTTTGGGAGCCTGGCGATGAAATGCTGTCTGTGGTATTCTAGCTTATAAAATTGGCACAGGTGGTACTACCTTCCTGAGGCACCTCCCTTCTGCATTCCAGATGCCATTATTCCACCAGGGACTCTCTTCTTGACTGCAAGGAAATGTGGATTGGGGAGGATGTGTTGTGGATTTTCTACTTCATCACTACAATACCTCACAAAATATAATTTTAGTCATTTATAAAAGAGAATCAGACCCATGGGATGCAACACACATCTGAAAACATAAATAATGAAATGCAAATGGCACAGTCTTTCACACAGTTTGTGTGCTCCATACAAGGTCCATATTTTCAAAACTATTTTAGATAATCATAAATCTGAATGAGCCCGTAGGAGATCTCAGTCCAGTGGGTGTCCTGGCAGGTGGCGGTAGCAGAGTAGCTAGGGTTACGTGCCCCAACCACAAGTTCTCAGGCTCTCTTCACAGCAAGAGACTCAGACTGTCTCATGTTTTCAAGTCTCAGTATTTTCCAGATGATTCTGATAAGTAAGCAGGTTCAAGAACCCGTGCTTATCACCCCACTTTCCAGTGTGCACAGCCCTCTTTCAGGAACCCCTCTGGGTGTTCTAGTTTCTCTTTCAATGTCTTCAGTGATGGCAAATTGATGCTAAGTGTGACAGATCTGAGAAATGTTTCCCTCCATGCATAAAAAGACAGCCCTCCAAACTTTCCACTGATAGAAGCTAGTCCTTTTCCCTTTTCCAAAACACTACAGTTGCATGAAAAAAAGTCTCCCTTTGACTTTTTTTCCCATGTAAATAGTGCATCCCAAAAAAGTCCTAGTCCCAGAATCCCAGCTTCTGGTTTACTAAATTTTCTTGAATGGATAGTCAATATTAAAATTTCAGTGGCCTTATCCTTGCAGTTCTCTGGTAACAGTCCATCCTGAAGTTTTGTTTTTCTAAAGTCCTATTCCCTACTTCTCCTAATGAGTTGGAAATATATTCTTATGTCTTATTCTTTGCAAAGGAATCTCAGGTCTGTTTTTATGTATATGATTCCCATATCTTCAATCATATTAGCAGTTGCTAAATTTTAGTACAATGATTTTTTCACAAGAAAATTTAATAATTTAAAATTCTGTAGAGTTGAAGGCACTTTTTAAATATATGGTTTGATTTCCTACTCCTAGAACCATTGTATAGATAAGATATCAGAGAATGGTAGAATAGGTAATTTCATATTATTTTTAGCACAAATGCTATTTACTATAAAATATGTGAATATGATTCACTTAATTCAGGCTAGCAGCCAAAAACATATTTTCCTATTCATCATGGAAATTTTTCATCTAATATTTAAAAGTGAAGGATTTCATGTACTACTCTGCAGTCCCATATAATTACAGTAGGTTAAAAGTAAATGTTATACGCTATTTGGTAAATACATATTTTGTATTACCTAAAAACACTGCAAGCCCTTAATTTTAACTTGCCTCTTGTATGTGTATTTGAAATTGAACTGCAGGTTCATCTTACATGATATTCAGAAATGACAACTTAAAAAATTCAATTACAGGGCTTTGCATTTTGGTGAAGCAGGTTATATCACTGCCTGTTATGCCAGGATCCACAAGAGTGCAGGTTCGAGGCCTGGCTGGTCCAATTCTAATCCAGGTTCCTGTTAATGTGCCTGGAAAAGCAGCAAAATATGGCCCAAGTACTTGTGTCCCTGCCACCTACTCGGGAGACATGGATGGAGTTCCAGGCTCCTGGCTTCCTCTTGGTCCAGCCCTGGCTATTATAGCCATTCAGGGAGTAAACTAGTAGATGGAAAATTCTCTCTCTGACTCCACATTTCAAATAATAATTCTTTAAAAATGAACTTATAATTTCTCAACCTTACAATGATACTAAAGCAATATGCTTTCAGTAGACACTATACTTCAAATTTTGATCTTCATCTGGGCTATGGTATTCAGTATGATTCTGTCTTGTGAGGCAGAGCAGTGGCAGTGAGCTGCAGCTCCTAGTCAGCCACAACATGACGAGCAATTGACACTCTACAGTGTACTGTGTTGCTCAGCTATCATGTTCAGTAGGCTCAACACATTTTCAAAGTACAATGGGCTTATTGGGGTATAACCTTATACCCCAATACTTGTGTAGAGTTTAAGCTGATAACCCGAACATGTGAAGTAGTAGCACACGGTTTTAGTGGTTCAGAGTAATCTCTGAAATCAGCCTTCCTGCTTAAAACCTGCTTTTTGTCACCTACAAACTCTGAAATATCAAGCAAATCATTTACTTTGTATGAAGTATGCTTTTTTCATCTTTCAAATGAACAATTTAACATTACTGGGAAGCTCAAGTGAGAATAGGCATGGAGTGAAAACTTTAAGCAAAGGGTTTAATAAATTTAGTTGCCATTATTTTGTATGGATTAGGTGCTAGAACCTCCACTCCCTTAACCTCAAATGGAACAGGGCTTATTGTGTCGTTCTGCTGTAGCTGCTTCTCATGTGCTTCCCTACCCCAGGTACTGGAGCCTCACGTGAAAACTCCTCACTGCGGTGCTGGTTTGCACGGGATGAGCCACTGAAACATCTCTTCTCCAGGCTTCCCAGCTGAACCATTTGCAGGATCAGCATGAGGAAGGTGCTACAGGAGATGACCCCTGATCATTCACAAAAGCTGGACTGTGGGTAGGATCACATGCTTTTCTGTTCATTTAACAACAACTGGTAAGAAATAAAACATGAGAGAATCTTACTACATGGTTTGTTAGGTAAATGAGTAGCCTTGTATACTAGCTGATGGATGTCCTTTGCAAACCCTCAGGGTCTCATAGAGCTTGTCAACACACATGTGCATGGCTTTCCACTGCTGAATCCTCAACCTGGAAAAATAACTTGTCAGAGAAACCAGGGCCACTCAGCATCTTCAGGCAGAGGATCTTTTTGTCAAGGCTATGAATGTTGGGGACGCTTTGCTTGTGTGAGATGCCTTTTTTTTCTGCCCATAGCATTGTCTCATGCCTCGGAAAAGCTTTGGAAACAATCATTCAAAACTTCCTCACCAACAGTTTTCAGAGTTTGGTTTTGTATCACCTGCCTCAGAATAATGTGGATTGCTCTTATAAACATAAAAACAAGATATCTGAATCTATCTAACACCTTCTAAATTATAAACTCAGAAGTAGATTCTAAGAGTGTCTTTTTCTTTTTTCAAATCCTGTAGATAATACTGAAGCACACTTAAGTCTGAAAATTAATAAATTAGTGCTAGGAGAAATATGGTAGCCTAGGTACTACTTATGGAGTTGAAGAGAGAGTTGGGATCATTGCAGCAACAAGTTTTGCTATGAACTTAGATATATGAGGAGTACAAAACTGTGGCCATGGTGCTCTAGGAATGTTAAAGCTGCTTTAAATATAAACATGTAAAAAATAAAAATAAAAAATACACAAGAACACAAGTAGTTTCATGGTTATGTATTGAACTGGATTATGTGGCTGATGTGTACTACACAGCTTCAATGGTGAGCCAAGTAAACATGGAGGAAATAGTTTGGGACAGTGGGGATATGATATAAGGTGGATCTTAATATAAGATCAATAGTTACTTGGGTGAATAAGAAATTCTGATGGGACATGGGGATCATATGAACAAATGAGATAGTCATAAAGATGGGATTTAGAGTAATAGAGAGTTGAGAAGGTGACTTGAAGATAAGAAGGACAGAGATGCATGAGGGTGCTCTAAAAAGTAATAAAGACAAGGCCTGAGACAAATCAAACTGCCCTGAGGCTGGTGGTGTGGCACAGCAGGTTAAACCTCCACCTGTAAAACTGGCATCCCACTTCAGAGGCTGGTTCTAGTCCTGGATGTTCCGCTTCCAATCCAGTGTCTTGCTAATGTGCCTGGGAAGGCAATGGAAGCTGGCCAAGTACTTGAGTCCCTGTCCCCTGTGTGGGAGACTCGGCTGCTCCCTGTGTGGGAGCTCGGGATCCTGGCTTTGGCTCAACCCAGCCCTGACTGCTACAGTGAATCCAGGAGTGAACTACTTGATAGAAGATCCTTTTCTCTCCATCATTTTGTGTTTCCAGTGAAGAAATAAATCTTTTCTGTAAGTACATTATATACTTGCATGAAAATGGGATCTCTTGATGCAGCACAGAGCACATGCAAACCTTTCTGTTAACTGTGAGGTGTGACCAGTGGTTACCAACAGAGTCCCTTTTCCACCTACACCGATCTGGAAATGTGTAGACCAGCTTTACTTTGGGCACAAGGATAGGGAAACCACATCCAAGATAGAAGGAAGCATTTTTTGATGGGGATATAAACCTGTTCAAAGAACAGGGGAAAGTGAAAAAGAGGAAAATAAGTTGAAAGCCAGAGTTTTACCTGTCTCTGCTTGTCTGCTTAGTTGTGTCTCCAGGGGCTTCTCCCAGGATCCGAAAGCTGAACAGCACACCTCTCCAGTAATCCTTGTATGCAGCAGGATCAGCCATCAGCCTGCAAAGCACAGCTTTATAAAATATAGTTGCTGAAATGGAAACTGGCAGCCTCATTCATTTTAAATAAGACTAAAACATAGAATCACATTCTTCTCAAGGTCTCAGATTCCATTTAATATTTCTTATGCTAAATCCCTGATCACTTGAAAAACCCACAGAAGATTAAACTCATGGTTTTTCTTTTTCTTTTAATGCTCTAGCAACATCAGAAAAATAACATTTCTAACACTCTCCCCCTTCTTTTTTTTTTTTTTAAATCTTTTAACCAGGGCAATGCCATTCATTCTCACTGCTAGGGGACAGTGTTAGGGGGCACAGTGAGTTATCTTAAGCAACTGTAGACAAGATTAGGTGCTAAGGAATTCAGTTGGAATCCTAGGGAAATAGTTCACTGGCAAGGAAGGTACTAATTTCCTGACAAAGGCCTTTGGTAAACTTAAAATAATTACATGCATAGCAAGAACAAAAGAACTCCATAATCATAGAAAGTCATCAGCATCCTTAGTGCACGCATTGGTTTGAGAATTATTGTGTGATTACAATTGTACACCATAGTTTAACCTGGAATATCCATGTAGCTTAGGAGTTTAGAATATATATGTTATTATTTTAGCCACACAAGTTAGAATCCATTCCCTTGTTAAAAAATGCACTTATTTCCTCTCTAATGAACCATAGCTTCTCTAATGCCACACTGTAGAGATAGTACCACATCCAGTTCTGAAGAGAAGCCTAACTCTTTCCTTTGACCACAAAATTGCATGCACAGGTGGAGGGAGAAATAAATCGGAGCTGATAAAAACCAGTCTTAAGATGTGATCTGGAAGACTAAGAAAGGCACATGCCCTTTTTCCTGTCTATAATTTCTGTAGTCATCTTTTCATTATAAAGGAAGAGACTGAGAATGGGGCAATGCAGACAGAAGTTAAGCCTGCATATAGAGAGAAAATAAACTGATGAAATCGCATGCCCCAGATTCATGCATCGCAACTAGACTGAGTTTACCTTTCTCAAGTGGTTTTGTTAGGGAATAAAGTCTTATTTTAAGCCACTGAAATAGGGTTCCGTGGCATGTTGGTACATGTCAGCAGTATGCTGGCAAATGTTTATCAATTCTCTCTGGTGTGCTGGTGGGGAGGGTAAAGCGCTGATTTATGGGGTTTGTTAATCTCTGTCGTGTCCTCTTCCACACCAACTTCAGGCTACCAGCTTGGGGTCACTGAACACAGGTCTGGAAAATACACACGCACATCCTTGCAAGCCATAAAGAACTGGCTCTAACACATCACTGGTCGTATTGTAAGCAAGTTTTCAATAAATCAGAGAGAATTGCTTCCACTGGCTTGTATTACCTGTTTTAGAAACATTACCCCTCTCCTTTTTCAATATGGAAAACATGACTATGGTATGATCATGTCTGGAACATTTTCTCCTGTTCGTTAGAAGAGGATATAGAACATCTCTATCAAAACAGGAGGGAGGCAGATTTAGAATATTCGAAAAATTTCATGGAACACCTAGAGGTGAAAGGTAAGATGTGCTGGGAGTAGTCATGTAGGTATCAGAACGATTTAAGATCTATGGGGCCGCATTTGGATTTCTCTAACACTTTGGGAACTTAGGAAAGACAGTTAAGATCTTTGAGTTCTATTTACACATACACAAAATCAGTTGTTTACTAATACTTAAGTGATAGAGTTAAGGTAACTACATTGATGATTTGTAATGTAAGGGCTTAACATAATGCCTAGAAGGTGGTAAATTTTCAGTAAATATTAGTGACAATTATCACAGCCACAAATAAATAAGCCACCAGTTTTTTTTCTGTCATCTGCTCTTAGGAGTCCTGTTACACCTCTGCTGAAACACTGGGTATTGTTCACATATCACTCATGCCCTGCTCATTGTCTTTTCACTTTTTACAAATTGTTATTTCTATTTTTTTTATTTGACAGGCAGAGTTAGACCGTGAGAGAGAGAGAGAGAGAAAAAAGTCTACCTTCCCTTGGTTCACCCCCCAAATGGCTGCTACGGCCGGCGCTGCACCGATCCGAGGCCAGGAGCCAGGTGCTTCCTCTTGGTTTCCCATGGGGGTGCAGGTGCCCAAGCACTTGGGTCATCCTCCATCACCTTCCCAGGCCACAGCAGAGAGCTGGACTGGAAGAGGAGCAACTGGGACTAGAACCCAGCCACCCATATGGGATGCCTGTGCCGCAGGTGGAGGATTAACCAAGTGAGCCACGGCGCTGGCACCTCTATTGGTATTTTTATTACTACTTTATTTTACTTCTCCAATTGATGGTTATGACTATTTCTGAATTAATTAATTTTACCTTGCAATTCTATCATTTCCATTTGTTTCTTAAAATAACGTGTTACATGTTGAGTTTCACTTTGAGATTACTTCTTCAGCTCTCTAATCCCACCTGGGACACACGGGCACTTTTTCTGCTGACTGCTTTTTCTCTTAATCTTGGCTAATGTTGTCCTGTTTCTTCACATAGTTGGTGAACTTTGTTTACTGGACACAATGAACGAATGCTCCATAGTACACTTTACCTCAGTTTCCTTCCTCCGAAGAGTATTCATTTCCACTCCAGTAAACACTTAGCGTACTGGGTAAGCACATTGAACCTGTGCAGTATTCAGTTGACTATTTTTTTAGTTTTTTTTTCCTTAAGATTTTCGATGTGAAACCTTAGTTGTGGGACCTAGCTTTTACTCCTAAGGCTTGGCCCTTCTAGAGTTCCAATAAAAAGCACAGGGTGATGATTACTATACCTGGCTAACCTGGTAGAATTCAAACTACAAACTTTCTTCTCCCATGGTGACCCATTGAAATTTCTACTCCAGACTTTCCTTTACTCCATCATTGCAGCCTGCAGGGCCCTTGGGAGACGTGAAACATTGGCATCAGCCATAGATATGAGAGGAGTTCGTGCATACATTTGGGGATTGCCCCACTGTGGCTCTCTCTGCCACAGGATCCGTCTTGCAGTTGCCTGCCATTATCTCAGCTGCAGCCTCTTAACAAATTAAACCAACAAGCCTGCAGGAGCCTGGAGTTTTCTACATGAGTTTCAACAAACACACACCCCAGGAGTGTGAAGTGACCCAAGGTTGTGGATCTGTAGAACACACAGTACCATCTCCTTCCTTCACAGGTCAAATGGCCTCCAGTGTTTGATTTTTCTCACTGTTCTCCAGAAACCAGTTGTACAGCTTTTCCAGAGACTTCCATGTTCTGTACGGCAGTTGATGTAATACAGGTGCTGTGATGGTACTGAAGTATAAGCAGCTCATTCCATTTCCAGTTCTGCCACTCCAGGGTGTCTCTTTCTCACCTATTAAAGTTCCTCTTTCTTGTGTTTAAGAAATACCATGCTTCTAGGGGCCGGCACCGTGGCTCACTTGGTTAATCCTCTGCCTGCAGTACCGGCATCCCATATGGGCACCGGGTTCTGTCCCGGTTGCTCCTCTTCCAGTCCAGCTCTCTGCTGTGGCCTGAGAAGGCAGTGGAGGATGGCCCAAGTGCTTGGGCCCCTGTACCCACATGGGAGACCAGGAGGAAGCACCTGGCTCTTGGCTCCGGATCGGTGCAGCGCCGGCCGTAGCGGCCACTTGGGGAATGAACCAATGGAAGGAAGACCTCTCTGTCTCTCTCTCTCACTGTCTATAACTCTACGTAAAAAGAAAAAAAAAACAAAAACAACAAAAAAAAAAACCCATGCTTTTAAAATAATTGTTTCTAGCATTCTGGTGAGGCTCTATTTTATATTAGCTACTTAGCATAAATAAAATTCACCAAAGGTAGTTATTAAATGGCTCTCTTTGCTCAGTATTTGCCCTGAACTGCACTTAAATATTTTCTTACAATTAGTAAGCATCAATTTTCCAATCTTTCTATTACAATGGAGGGGCCTTTTAGCCAGCTTTTACAGGATGGATTTCTGAAGGGGTTTGAGTGGAAAAATTATTTTACTTGTTTCATGTCAAGTACACATTTGTAGCTGACAGTTTCTTATACTTGGGACTTACCTGCAGCAGAATCTCTGATGTAAGTAGGGAGGTAGCTTCAAACACGAGCTGAGGATTGCCAGTACCTGTACTGCACACAGTGTGCCCCGGGCCGCAGCCGCGTGGGCATTGCCCAAGCTCCACCCACTCCCGTGCAAACCTCAGGGGCCAGGTGTCGTCCTTAAGAAGCGGTGCCTAAAAACAATCTAAATGAAAGATCCTGGTGAACAAGACCCCAGCAGAAGGAACAGGCCATCAAGGAGAGAGGCGCCTTTCTCTGAAGGGAGGAGGGAACCTCCACTGTGATATGGCCTTGACTAAACAAGTTCAGAGTCAGTGAACTCAAGGGGCTTCCATAGCCTAGACAGCTCATAGCAAGAGTCTCAGGTGATTGCTGACGTCATAAATAAGTGTGCCAATTGTTAAATCAACAACAGGAGTCACTGGGTACATGCTCCCCACGTAGGATCTCTGTCCTTAATGTGTTCTACTATGAAACTTAAAAACAACACTACTAGTCGAACAATACCCTATACCTTGTGCGGTTGTGTGAGTGCAGCCTGTTGTAATCCTTGCTTAGTATATACTAAGTTGATCTTCAGTATATGAAGGTAATTGAAAATGAAACTCAATGAAGGGTGGGATGGGAGTGGGAGAGGGAGTGGGAGAGGGGAGGGCGACGGGAGGGAGGGAGGGAGGGAGGTGGGGGGGGAGCCGCAACAATACAAAAGTTGCACTTTGTAAATTCACATTTATTAAATAAAAAAAGAACTATATAACAAAAAAAAAGAAAAAAAAAGAACTTAATACTTTACCCTTTTAGTATTTTTTATGTTCTACTTAAAACTATTGGTTGAACTCTGTAATTAATACACAGTTACTCTTAGGTGTTTAATTAATGCTATAACCAGTATTCAAATAGTATTTTACACTTTGTGTTTCTGTGTGGGTGCAAACTGTTGAAATCTTTACTTAATATATGCTAAATTGATCTTCTGTATATAAAGATAATTGAAAATTAATCTTGATGTGAATGGAAGGGGAGAGGAAGTGGGAGAGGGGAGTGTTGTGGGAGGGAGGGAAGTTATGAGGGGGGGAAGCTACTGTAATCCATAAGCTGTACTTTGGAAATATATGTTCATTAAATAAAATGAAATATAAATATAAAAAAAAAGAAGCGGTGCCTACTAAAACTATCTACTACAGCTGCTGGTTGTTTCTCCACATGACCTGTAGTTCTTGTTATCTCATTATAATGTAATTATAATAACCAACACCAAAATCTCATCATACCCCTGATGTTGTGACCCTTCTGAGATTTCCAAAACAGGTTAAGGAGACAGGTGATAATGAAGCCCCACCCCAAACCCCACCCTTTTGAATATTCAATTAAGCCCCATCCCAAACACCACGCCCTGTGCCCCAGATCATATAAAAGGAAAGCCAGCGTCTTGTTGAGTGAGATTTTTCTCTTTCTGTGGAGTTTGTCTGTCTTTACTTTTGTGTGCTGCTGGTCTTTGGCTTTTAGTAAATCTTGGTTCTTTGGTGATTTTTATCTCCATCTCGACTTTGAATTTCTTTGTGTTAGTAAGGAGATGAACCAGTACCTAGCCAGAGGCCGCTGACAACAGGGGCACATAGATAATGGCCAGAAAAGCAGAAGAGCAGTAGAGCTGTGTCCACAGGAGCAGGTGGTGTCTTAGGTAGCGTCAAACCTTGTCTCCTTTTGTGCAGGTTAGAGTTTGGCTCGTGTTTTTCCATCAGCTTATAATTCTTCGAGTCACTGTCAGTAAATCTGGGCTCTGTCCCAGCTATCTCCAGATCTGCCAAGTGTAAATCGGATCAAGCTGCAAAAAACGAAGTGGGAAGGAGGAATGGAGGGGAGGGTGGGAAAGGGAGGGGTGGGAGGAAAAGGGTGGGGGGAGGGAAGCAAGAGAAAAGGAAGAAACTACTTAAAAAAAAGAAGTCTTAGAAACTCTGCACCCCAATGACCTGAGACAGCTGCTTCTGCAATGACTACAACTTGTTTGCTCTTCCTTGTTTGAAAGAATGTATCAAGCCAACACTGAGTACAAGTTGCCTTTTTTTTTTTTTTTTGACAGAGTGGATAAAGAGAAAGGTCTTCCTTTTTGCTGTTGGTTCACCCTCCAATGGCCGCCATGGCTGGCGCGCTGCACCCGGCGCTGATCTGAAGCCAGGAGCCAGGTGCTTCTCCTGGTCTCCAATGGGGTGCAGGGCCCAAGCACTTGGGCCATCCTCCACTGCACTCCCTGGCCACAGCAGAGAGCTGGCCTGGAAGAGGGGCAACCGGGACAGAATCTGGCGCCCCGACCGGGACTAGAACCCGGTGTGCCGGCGCCGCTAGGTGGAGGATTAGCCTATTGAGCCGAGGCGCTGGCCATAGTACAAGTTTCATTCTGGCTAGAAGGGAAACTGTTATCTAGGTTGGGATCTTAATTGAGATTGATTTTGTAATAGTTTCTAAGGGTTATGCTTGACCAGAGATATCACTGAGGAAGGCTCACTAAGGGAACTTTGAGAAGCTGGGTATCCATTTCCAAGTTTAAGACGTCCTCAGCAGGAGAAAACGATAGCAATTACACCCTCTTATCTTTTGTTTTGAATCCATATGCACTAAGATCTTGAAAGACTAAACTGTTAAGTAGCTTTTTCTTTAAACAACATCCAAGTCAATACCTTGGAGTCCTGTGTCCCTTGTGATTAGAATTCTCTGTGATTCTAAGGAAGTTGCCTATGTTTTTCTGTTAGGAAATAGAGATGGTTTACAAACAGGAGCTTAAAATATTCAATGTGGTATCTTAGCACCATGCTTAAGTGTTCTTGAGCTGTAGCATGGCTGTTGGTGCACCGAGGATGATAAGTATGGGCCTGACTTTTAAATTCATGACACGTATACATTTTACAGTAAAACCTTCCAGTTATTAAAGCACTCAGACAGAACCAGCAATAGGGTAACCGAAACCAAAGTTTGGTTGGAGGAGTTAGATGTTTTTGAGGGTGGGGAGCAGAAGTGGTGCCTGACAGTTTGCAATGTATATACTTTTCACCTGATCTCTAAGAACTAGTTTATCATCAAAGTTTAGCTTTGGTTAAAACCTCTTCCCAGAAAACTTGGGAAAATATACCAGTGGAAAGCAAGGGATGTCTAGAACAAGGACAGATGTTATTTAATGCTGACTTCTGAATTGTCTATGGCCATTTCAGATGGGAATATCAGTCTACTGGTCAGTATTCAGAAAATAATTCAGCCAACTACATTTCAAATAATCTGTTCAGAGTAACAGAAGCCCAGAGAATTGTTACACTTGACAAGGGAGAAGTTTAAAATTAAGATGCAGTGCCTGCAGAAATCTAATGGGGCAGATATTATTCCAATTTTAATAGAAATTAGCCCCCTTGGAGTTTAGCCAACTTTTACATGCTGGGTAAGTTTTTGAAATAAAGTCAAATAAGTTCCTGGTTTCAATCAAAATGCTTCTATCGACGCATGACTTCACGCCTGTAAATAGCTGCTGGAGCCCACTATGTGCTACAGTATTCATAAACTACTCTAGGTGTGGAGGAGGCAGGGGTAAGGAATTGAGACTAAGGCATGAGCCCTTGGCCCACCTGAAAAGTGTGGCTATGATCTCTGTATCTATTTCTACCACTTCTCTGCTTTGAGGGCTTTTACCGTACTACTGGTCAGCACTTCTTGCCTTTATGCTCTCCCGCTACTCTGACATTTTGAAGAAACCCAGAGGTTTACATGAACAAAAAAAGCTAAGCATTAAAAGCACACACTCAAGGTCTCTGGAGTCTGCCATCAGGAGGCTTTCCAGTTTTCTTGACTCATCTCTCATAATAAGCCCTCTTCTACAACCCGAGTGACCCCATAACTTTGTTTTCTGTGAAATCCCCATACTTAATGGCAGGTGCAGCAATCATTCTCAGAGCTTTTGTGTCTAAGGTAAGCTTTCCTTTCACAATTAAGAACAAGTGGCAGCTGGAACTGAAGCCATCTTGAAAGTTTCTGTATTTGTAAGTTTGGGTATATGAGCTGACAAGTCGGGATGAGTTGGCTCTGCCTCTGCAAGTCATCATGTCTTTGTATGGTCTGTCCATGTGGTCCTAGCAGCTGTTGTAAGCACGATTTTATACAGAACAGGGTTCCAGATATATTTGCCTGGTGAGAGGGCTATGGCAGCAGCTGTCACAGCTTTTATCACCTATCCTCAGGAGACATACTCGTCAGTTCTCACATTCTATTGGTTATAAAGTGTCACTAAAACCAGGCCATTTCCAAGGGGCGTGTAATTAGACTCCAACTTTGGCGTAGAAAAACTGTGGACGTGTTGGGTAGTACAACAACTTTAAAACTGTTAAGCTTTCAAGATTTTACAGTAACAGATACCATCTACTAGGTCTGGATGATGTGATGTTCTTTTAGAAGGCTTCTCTTTCTGTCAAAACCACTGATATGGGGACTAGTTTCCACAGTTCATGCCTATGCTTACTGCCTGTGACACAAAGTAACATTTTGAATATCCACATCCTAACTCCCCAATAGAAAAGGATGCAATGAGCTTTTGATAACACCTTTTAATGGTTGACTCATTAACTCTTGACAGGGCCTAAATTTCATTTCTGAAAGTCGTAGAGATTCATTAGTTGCTGGCTAAGTGGAATTATATGTAGAAGCTCAGATATTGAGATCAGAAAGCTTCACCTCTCATTAGGAAACTTGATAGAGAAAATTTCATCCACTTGGAGTCTCTGCACCATGCATAAAATAAGGTCCCTTGGGTGTAGCCTTGGAGAAGGGCAAACAAGTTACCTGTGCAATGCAATGTAATTCTTGGTATTCTATCCCTACTGGATTTAACAAATCCTGAGGCTGTTAGTTTTAGTCTCCTCAGCCTTTTTCCATGTTAACTAGATGGCAGTAGCGTAAGAAACCTCTAATCTTGGCAAATACTCATTAAAATAAAAGATCTCAGAACCACTGTTGAAACCTTTATCAGGAAAGCAATTAGTTTAGTTCCAACCTTTGACTGTATCTGTTCAGAACTTTAAAACGACTTCTTCTGGTTTTATTTTCTTAACCTGTAATTACTGCCTGTTATGAATCCCCAGACCACAGGTAACATCTATCTATAATGTTTGGTGTCATGGAAGACAAATCTATAGAGAGGACTTGAATGATGGAAGTATTTTAAGGCAGAAGATAGTAATTTCAAAGAACTCTCTGACTTCATGAATAATCTGACATTGTCATACATCCATACAGAACTCTTCCACCATGAGACTGATCCAGCTGAGAACAGATATTCCTTAAATA